AGAATATAAAAATATATAATTTTCTAAAATGCATTTTCTTATTTAGTTTTATTGTAAATTATTTGCAAAGTAAAAGATTTTAAGGCGAGAGAGTATTCCAAAATTTTTTTTTTAAATTATTTTGAGAGAAGATTTCAATAAGTTATAGATATCATTAACCATAATTGAGGTTTTTATTTTTAAAACTGATTTTAAGCCTATGCCAAATTCCAACTCTGCTCTGTTATGTAAATTCGGTTTAGCAATCATAACTTGAATTAGCAAAGAATTGGAATTTTCATAGATTTAAAGAATTTACTCCTTTTCACATGATGCAATTATATTTTCAGCAGAAAATTCTAGCAAAAAATTTACATAGATAAATACTCACATTTTCTTTATTAAAAAAAATGGTGAAAGATGGGGAAAGTTAATAAAAAAAATAATAATTGGTTTCAAAATCTTCAAAATTCCACAAAGTCATTCGCAAGACCTTTTAATAATGTTAAATGATTCTGATGATCATAATAATATTCTTATCCAAGCTGGGGAAAATTCTAATATAAAAAAATTTGTGCAAAAAACAAATATTTTGAGGGTTCATTCACCTTATTTCAAAATCGCACTTTCGTCTAATAGGTAACTAAAAAGAACAATATGTTTAAATTTAAAAAGCCAAAATGTTAATCCTATCGTTTTCGATATGATTCACAAGTATGGCGTTTTCTAACATCTACACTAAATCACTTTAATATAACCAATCTTTTCTTTTCCTTTTTCTAATATTTCAAGATTTACTATTAAAAAATCGAGTTTGAACATAATACCCACCCCTACAATAAATCACCGGAAATTGATTATATAATATGATCAAAAAAAATTTTATGAAGCTGCAGCCGTCTGCGGATTTGAAGCGGAAATTGATGGACAAAGAAAAAGTAAAGGGTATCGTTAAAGAAGCAAAAGAGGCCGCTAAAGAATACACTGAATCAATTCAGATAGAATTTCAATGACACATTTTCAATTGTTATTCTTGCGTGTATAAGATGAAATGTAAATTAACATAATATTATTTAATTGTTTAGGAAGGACATGGTACTTCTTTGTTAGAATCCGAGTCACTAGACATATTTCAATGTTCTATTGGAAATATCACATCAGGGTAACCGTATTCTTAAAGATTACACGTTACCGAACTAAAACATGATTCTGAAACCTAAAAATTCGTTTGTTCTTCCAACTAACATCGCACCAAGATATGGTTCATCATCAGCTTTCCCAGTATCAACAATAATTTTCCACCCCAATATCACCGGTGTCACACCCTCCGTGTTTCCATTTTTCATAAGTATTCCGCATTTTTTTAAGTGTGAAAAATATTTATTTACGTCACTTATATGTCACCGGTCACGTGGAGCGTGAAATTTTACTTATAAAATTGTTGGGTAAATGTTCATCATCATCATCATCACATGATGGAAAATACTATAAAAGTTGTTTATTATCTAGATCTTATAGAATGACATCCAATTATTCAAATATTGAATCACCCTTTCATAAAATTTCTGCTGAAATGAATATCGATGTAAACTCTAAAATCTCTAAACTTACATTGGTCGAATAGATTACACATACTATATAAAATTGGGAAATCCTGTTCAAATCTATAAAAAGAAATATAGTAATATCTTGCGTAACCATACATATAATATCTGTAACCAATTAAGTAATAAAGTAGCCTTTCTAGGTGTAAAAAGCATCGTAATAAAAAATAAATTTATACTTGTTTAAAGACAAAAGTAAGAGTTTAGTTAACGTTTTGTGAATCTTTTTAATGAAATAAATAACACCATGATTTTTGAATAAAGAGGAACATATCGTATATGTATGTTAAAAAAAAAAAGGTACTACACCCAATTGTTGGATTGTATTACCATATTGATGATGAAATGTTATTAAATATTTATTTTATTTATTTGAAATTTTCTCACATTTAGAGACCGTCTCATCAATTTTACAACTCATTCAATTTATTAAAATTATTAGAATGTTTAAGGATATGCTCATTTCTTTATATAAATCTTATTCAAATATTTTCGGTTGAAATTAGATGTTATTGCTTGCAGTGCTTGA